CACGCTCACAGCAACCTCCAACTCCTGGGCTCAAGTGAGTCTCCTGCCTCAGCCTCCCAAGTAGCTGGGACTACAGGCGCCTGCCACAATGCCTGGCCATTTTTTGGTTGCAGCCATCATTGTTGTTTGGCGGGCCTGGCTGGGGATTCGAACCTGCCACCTTGGGTGTACGTGGCTGGCACCTTAGCAACTTGAGCCACAGGCGCCGAGCCTTTTTCTTTTTTTTTTTTTTTTTGAGACAGAGTCTTACTATGTAAACCAGGCATCATCAATCTACGGCCCATGGGCTACATGTGGGCCTGCCTCGAACATTTATCTGGCCTGTGTGGTGTTTTTGCCACTGCTGCCTGTCCTGCTTAGCAGCTGACTTGTCCCAGGGCCCAGAGTCTGGCCCTCCAACGGTCTGAAGGACAGTGAACTGGCCTCCTGTTTAAAAAGTTTGAGGACCCCTGATGTAAGCCCTCGGTAGAATGCTGTGGCATCACAGCTCACAGCAACCTCAAACTCTTGGGCTTAAGTTATTCTCTTGCCTCAGCCTCCCAAAAGCTGGGACTACAGGTGCCTGCCACAGTGCCTGGCTATTTTCTTATTGTTGTCATTACTGTTTGGCAGGCCTGGGCTAGGTTTGAACCCACCAGCCCCAGTGTATGTGACCAGCACCCTAGCTGCTGAGCTACAGGCACCAAGCCAAGTGTGATTTTTTAAAATGACTCTAGAACACTCCAATTAGACAGTATCACTATACGCTTATCTCCCTGCTCATCTAGTAAGCTGGGCTATGCACCCATGTGTCCCACCCCAACACCCTAAAGCACACTGTCCAGCCCACTCTCCAAATTTGTCTTGTACCACTCTCTGATCTCTGTACTTAAACCCTCCTTTTAGTTCCTCACACATACTACACTCTCGTTAGGAATTACTAAGAATGGAAACCATACAGAAGTAGCAAAAATAAAAAATGACAGATCTTTCTCCTTTTCTTGTTTTTTTTTTTGTTTTTCTTTTTTTTTGAGACAGAGTCTTACTTTGTCACCCTGGGTAGAGTACCATGGTGTCACAGCTCATAGCAACCTTAAACTCTTGGGCTGAAGGGATCTTTTTGCCTCGACCTCCTAAATAGTTGGAACTACAGGGGCTCATCACCACACCCAGCTAATTTTTCTATTTTTAGTAGAGATGGGGTCTTCCTCTTGCTCAGGCTGGTCTTGAACTCAAGCAATCCACCTGCCCTGACCTTCCAGGGTGCTAGGATTTCAGGCATAAGCCACTGCACCCAGCCAAAAAATGACAGATCTTAAGAACCAAAGTCATTCATCATTGCCTAGAAATACTCTTTCTTTCTTTCTTTTTTTTTTTTTGGAGACAGAGTCTCACTATGTCACCCTCAGTAGAGTGTCATAGCGTCACAGCTCACAGTAACCTTAAACTCTTGGACTTAAGTGATTCTCTTAAATCAGCCTCCTGAGTAGCTGAGACTATAGGTGCCCACCACAATGCTCGGCTATATTTTTGGTTGCAGTTGTCGTTGTTTAGCAGGCCTGGGCTGAGTTCGAACCCGCCAGCCTCGGTATATGTGGCTGAAGCCTGTGAGTACTGAACTATGGGCGCCAAGCCAGAAATACTGTTTCATAAACAGCTGATTTGACAATTCCGTATAAATTGTTTCAATAACCTAGAGGAAGATTGCTATGTGTTCTTTGGATCTGTTCCCTTCTATCTGTCAGTCAGCCTCACCTCTGCCCTCCCCCACACCTGTGCCCTACCACCTCCAGCCTGGACTTACCAAGTAGAACACAAAGCTCAGATAAGCCACGCTGACCACAGCAGCCACCACGTATAATGCTATATGCCCTAGGTCCCGAACATAAATCACTACAAAATACATGTTGATGGAGCAGACGATCAAGACCAAGATCCCACCTGCAATCCTCCAGCCTCTGTAAAAGAATGAGCACAGTCACTGAGGGATTGGTCCAACCTGCCACAGACAGAAAAGGAAACTGTTCCTTGAGGGGTAACAGGAAAGGAGTTAGAGGCGCTTCAAGATGAAGTGAAAAATGGTTCTTATTATGTTCCAAATTAGGTCAAATGGGCCCAAGTCAGACAATGACAGGGAGAAAGAGGGGGGAAAATAATCAAAGAATCACTAATATTTAGGACCCTAGAAATACAAGTTATTTTAAATATACATGTACCCTTTAAAGGTATATGTAAAAGGTACTAGCTTATACCTTTCTCTTTAAGATCATTTAACATAGAATTAAAGTACTTGGCTCGGCGCCTATAGCTCAACCGGCTAAGGCGCCAGCCACGTACACCTAAGGTGGCGGGTTCGAATCCCCAGCCCGGACCCGCCAAACAACAATGACAGCTGCAACCAAAAAATAGCCGGGCGTTGTGGCGGGCGTCTGTGGTCCCAGCTACTTGGGAGGCGGAGGCAGGAGACTCGCTTGAGCCCAGGAGTTGGAGGTTGCTATGAGCTGTAATGCCATGGCACTCTGCCCAGGGGGACAGCTTGAGGCTCTGTCTCAAAAAAAAAAAAAAAAAAAAAAAAAAAGAATTAAAGTACTTCACACTTCAGAGTCTGAAGTTGAAGAGTTAGAGCCCCGAGAGCTGAACTCCCCCCGGCCCCTCCCCTTCTTCTTCCTTTACTACTTCCATGGCCTCCATTTTCCAAGCCAAAGAGTAAGCAGCTAGTAATCACCTCTCAAAGCACACAGCTCCCGGCCAGGCATCATTTCTAACTGTTGGATAAAGATACCTTTTCCCACATACCATCATCACTTTTGAGGAACTAGCAGAATACTCACATTCCATTAGCAAAGTCATTCATTACTGGCCTCAAGCTTGTAAATGTGAGGATGGGTATGAGAGCAAAGGGAAGCTGGAAAAGAAAGAAATAAGATTAGGTACTGAGGGTCCTCGTATCATCCCAGAGAACAGTAAGGCTAGTGAAGGGGAAACACGAACCCTGCCTCACTAAATCTCCATGAGAAATAATTATTCCTATCATTCTGACACATCCAAGCGTTTTGTTGGCAATCTGTACAGCCGCATAAACCTAGCATCAATTAAGATCACAAGTGTCTTTGTATCTTTACAAGTATTTGTATGTGACTTGTCTTAACTTCAACAGTGTCCTATACATTCATGTATATTTGCTTGGATTAATGAACTATAATTTTGTGTTCTGCATGTAAGTAAAACACAACACATCTTTTTTTTTTAGACAGAGCCTCAAGTTGTCCCTCTGGGTAGAGTGCTGTGGCATCACTGCTCACAGCAACCTCCAACTCCTGGACTCACGTGAGTCTCTTGCCTTAGCCTCCCAAGTAGCTGGGACCACAGGCACCCGCCACAATGCCCAGCTATTTTTTGGTTGTAGCTGTCATTGTTGTTTTGATGGGCCCAGGCTGAATTCGATCCCGCCACCTTAGGTGTATGTGGCTAGCGCCTTAGCCACTTGAGCCACAGGTGCCGAGCCAACGCAACATATCTTAAGAACCAAAATCACTTATTACTGACTAGAAATACTCTTTCTTTTTTTTGAAACCGAGTCTCACTATGTTGCCCTCAGTAGAATGCTGTGGTATCACAGCTCACAGTAACCTCAAACTCTTGGGTTTAAGTGATTCTCTTGCCTCAGCCTCCCAAGTAGCTAGGACTATAGGTGCCTACCACAACACCCAGCTACTTTTTGGTTGCAATTGTCATTGTTGTTTAGCAGGCTGGGGCCAGGTTTGAACACATTCCATTAGCAAAGTCATTCATTACCAGCCTCAAGCTTGTAAATGTGAGGAAATATAAGTAATGGTCATAATTCCCAGTCAACAAGCTTAAAACTACCAAACCATTTCTAAAAAGGTCTTTAGATGTCAGATTTTCTATACATTTACTACAGATCATGTCTCTTTCTTCCTCTCAGTGTCCCCCAGCACCCAGCACCTGGCTTAGTATGCAAGGGCGGTACATAATGCTGCCAACTAAATGGGATGTGAGTCTCCCCTGCTCCCTCCTCACCTGTAAGCTCTGTAGAACATTTAGGAAATCATTCATCCCCGTTAGATGCTCTACATCTTGGAAGACAGCAACAAGCAGAGTGGGGACAATGGCAATAGAGCGGGTCAGAATCACTCGAGCAAAGCGTGACCATTTTAGGTTCAGGAATCCCTGGAAGAAAATATAGGGGCAGAGTGAATGTCTGGAATAGAAAACAGAGAAAGGTTTGGGGAGGTTCAGGATAGACCTCAGAAGCATGGGGTTAAGAAATGACAGAAGGGATGTGCCATCTCCCTCCATTCTGTGCCATATGTACCTCCATGACAAACTGGCCTGAATAAGTTCCTGTCATGGTGGAGCTCTGTCCTGCAGCCAGGATCCCCACTGCCCAGATGTAGAGTGCCGCCGGCCCAAAGTAACATCCTAGCACAACTCCCTGGGAGAAACAAGGAAGACAGATACGTTTAAGCCAATAAGCTATTTAGACAGCACTCCAAACGACATTCCTCTGTGGCATTTCTCCCACTTCCCTGATACCCACCACATATACCAAGTGCTATGGCTGGCCCTGTCCCAGAAGCTAGGATCAAGTCCCAACCTCATTCTAAGAGCTTTCAATCTAAACCTTACTAGATGCCCCTTCATTCCTCAACCCAGTTCTTTCTCTTTTCCAACCTTCTAAAGCCTTCATTTCTTCCACCTTAAATATTGGGGAAAAAAAGAGAAAATTTTGGCTTAGCACCTGTAAGCTCAGTGAATAGGGTGCCTGCCACATTCACCAAGGCTGGCGGATTCAAGCCCAGCCTGGGCCCACTAAACAACAATGACAGCTGCAACCAAAAAATAGCCAGGCGTTGTGGCAGGCACCTATAGTCCCAACTACTCAGGAAGCTCAGGCCAGAGAATTGCTTAAGCCCAAGAGTTTGAAGTTCCTGCGAGTTGTGACACCATAGCACTCTACTGAAGGCAACATAGTGGGACTCTGTCTCAAAAAACAAACAAATAACAACAACAAAAATTTCCCAAATTATGTTTCTTAACACACTATTGTAGAAAATATAGTAGGAGTGCAGGGAAAGTTCAAATAAACCTGGGAAATGCTGCACACTGTATATCCCGCTCCTGGAGGATCACAATATAACCAGCACAGGGAAGAGACCCCAGTAAAGAACAATCTCCTAGAAACACTTTCTTTAGTCACCCAATTAATATCCTGTAGAACACTATACTACCAACATGAGTTTGAAAAATGCTGGCGTACAACCCATCTTTTCGACTGATCCTCTATTCCCTTCAAGGTAATCCAAAATGCTTGTCTGGCATCTTAACTTCTGAAATAAATGACACCCCCAAAGAGATATGCTGAGATCTGAAGCAACTCCCCGAAAAAGACCAGATAATATGAGAAGAACACTGATTCAGAAGCAAAGATCACAAATCTGAAAGTGCTTACCCCTTTGTAGATATCCACAGCCAGGGTTGAATTATCATTAGGGAAGAGGCCAGCATGGGGACTGCTGCTGTTTTTACAGACTTCAACCTAGAAGCCAAAGCAGTTCAAGAGCAACTTTTGTTTTAGAGGCAAGGACCAGGTAAGAATTCTCCTATAGTTCAAACACAATCCTATGCGAGTTAGGTTGCAGGGAAATCACAGATACAGGCTGTGATGCTGGCAGAGACTGGCAGCAATATAACTTGGAATATTCCTCCATCATCTATCTACATCCCCAAGTCATGAACTCTTTACTGAGCTGAGAGTGTGTGTGGTAATACATAAACACTGGGGCATTTTAAATGACAGGAGAGACTCTTAAGAAGGCTTCAAAGGTGAGTGAGAAGGCGGTGCATATGGCTCAGTGGATAAGGTGCTGGCCTCATATACCGAGGGTGGTGGGTTCAAACCCAGCCCCAAACTGCAACAACAATGAAAAAAATAGCTGGGGATTGTGGCAGGTGTCTGTAGTCCCAGCTACTTGGGAGGCTGAGGCAAGAGAATTGCTTGAGCCCAGGAGAATGAGGTTGCTGTGAGCTGGGTGACACCACAGCACTCTACCAAGGGGTATAAAATGAGACTCTGTCTCTATTAAAAAACAAAACAAAACAAACAAAGGTGAGAGAGCACCAGACAAGAGAGACATTGGTCAAAGCAGACAGGAGTCAGAGGTCCCAGGGATGGGAAAAAAGTGGTGATCAAAACCACAGGCAATTAGAAATCAAAAGGATACAGAAATCAAAATGACAAAATGGCCTAGCTGCAATGGCTCATGCCTGTAATTCCTGAACTTTGGAAGGGTAAGGCAGAAGTAATACTTGAGGCCAGGAATGTGAGGTTGTAGTGAGCTATGATTGTGCCACTGCACTCTAGCATGGACAACGAAGCAAGACTGTCTCTAGGCTCAGCACTCATAGCACAGTGATAATGGTGCCAGCCACATACACCGAAGGCGGTGGTTTCAACCCAGCCTGGGCCAGCTAAACAACAATGACAACTGCAACAAAAAATAGCCAGGTGTTGTGGCAGGTGCCTGTAGTCCCAGGTACTTGGGAGATTGAGGCAAGAGAATTGCTTAAGCCCAAGAGTTGGAGGTTGCTGTGAGCTGTGACACCATGACACTCTATGAAGGGTGACATAGTGAGACTCTGTCTCAAAAAAAAAAAACAAAACAAAAGAGACTCTGTCTCTATAAAAAACAAAACCAAGTCTGTCTTAGTCACAGTTTCTGTTTTCTGTTTGTTGACTCCTCCCAATCAAATATCAAAGCTGACAAAAATGGGTCTAGACTAGGTGAGTCCTAAGACTGCAGCTGGACTGCATGGTGACATTAGAGGGCAGCAGTGAGTCTCCCTGAGCTCCATGTCACTGTATTCTCCTACCCCATTCCTGTCTCTACTTCACCTCCACTTTCATGACCACCCAGGATTCTGGAGTACTTACCACCTGCTCGTTGGTTTTCTCAAAAAATGCTTCGGCAAAGACTGAGACAACAAAGACGTTGATGATGAAGGAAACAAAGAGAGCAATGCAGGATTCAATGAAAAAGTACTTATTGGCTTCTCGAACTTCCCGCTTATTGCTCCGGTTTACCTGTCTAGACTAGAGAGATAACAGCAGTCATTACTTGTTGACCCGTTGGACCAAGTTTCCTTATAGCATTTCAGGACCCTACAGTCAGCTGAGAGATCCAGAGGGCAAACAACTGACCAGATGAAATGTGAGAGATCCAAGACTCACCTCCAGCTGACTTCACTGAGTGATTGCGAACTTCATGCCCTTTAAAGGCATTGCACATCCCCACATGGGGACCAGGGACTAAGTGACTATGGTGACTCAGTTATCGTGGCTGGAAGGGCCATCGACCCACAAAAACTATCTGATTTCAGTGCAAAGGTGTGTAGGGCTGTATAACTCTGATTACAGAAGTTTCCAAGATCTCCTAGTAAATTATTGTGTAAGACTGACTAATAAAAGCCTGGTTGGACTCTTGTACTCCTGATCTCCAGAAGGCCACTAGGCTTTTGAAATTTAAACACAAGAAGCTACATGAAATCTCAGGCATTTTAGGAACTTCAGTCCCAGCTGCTCTGTGGGGCCAGTAACCTGTGTCAATTTGGTGACAAAAACAGAGTCCAAGTCCAGGCATGCAGAGTCTATAAAATGTTCAGCTTGGAAAACAATATGCTCCTTCAGAGCTCTAACAATTGCAAACTAATTTTGTGTCCCTTGCAGTTAAAGGAAAGGATCCCATTAACTACCCAGAGGACCAGGGAGGTAAGAGCCTTGCTCACCTTGACTAAGGCAGAATGCAGGTACATGTTGTGCGGCATGATGACAGCTCCCACGATGCCCACAGCCTGCTGGACCTGTGAGGTCTGGCAGCCTGAACAGGATGGCACGAACATGCCCTGGAGGACCTGGCTCTGGTTGGGTTTCACTGTAACATACTACATGCCAACATACAACTATTAGCTTTCCCTGGAACTCAATACTAGGAATACTCAGCATCCTTTACTCTTTACAACTACCTAGGATAATGAGGAATACAGAATCAAAGAACCAAGGAACACAAGGGACTTACTGCCAGGGGTCAAAGGATTCAAAACTGAAGTACTGAGATACTTTATATCATATTTTTGATAAATAAAACAGATGTGTATACAATGTAATTAATATTCAAAAGAAATAAAATGGCTAAGGCTCTTACTGTCATTAGCTTCACAGTTATGAAGACACAAGAATACAGAATGAATTCTTGCTTATCTATACTTATTCTGTTCACTTATGTTTATCCACAAATCATTTGGTGAGGCTGGGCATGGTGGTTCACACCTGTTATCCTAGTACTCTGGGAGGCTAACTTGAGCTCAGGAGATTGAGTCCCCTCACAAGAGTGAGACTCCATTTCTACTGAAAATAGAAAAACTAGCTGTGTGTGGTAGCCCACACCTGTAGTCTCACCTACTCAGGAGGCTGAGATAAGAGGATTGCTTGAGCCTAAGAATCTGAGGTTGCTGTGAGGTATGATGATGCCACAGCACTCTACCCAGGGTGACAGAGTGAGACTCTATCTCAAAAGAAAAAAAAAAAAATTTGCCCAGCACGGTGGCTGACACTTGTAATCCTGGCACTCTGGGAGGCCGAGATGGATAGATTGCCTGACCTCATGAGTTAGGGGCCAGCCTGAACAATAGCGAGACCCTATATCTAAAAATAGCTGGGCACTGTGGTGGCGCCTATAGTCCCAGGAGCCTCAGGAGGCAGAGGCAAGATACTTGCTTGAGCCCAGGAATTTGAGGTTGCTGTGAGATGTGATACTACGACACTCTACAAAAGGCAACAAAGTGAGACTGTGTCTCAAAAACAAAACAAAACAAGAATAAACAAACCATAAAAAAAAAAAATCACTTGATATTTTCTCCTAATGTGTAGTAAGTCTCATTTATTCATAAAAAGTTTTCATACACACTTTCCTCTGGTTTAGCTTTTTTTTTTTTTTGAGACAGAATTTTACTATGTCGCCCTCAGTAGAGTACCGTGGGGTCACAGCTCACAGCAACCTAAAACTCTTGGGTTTAAGCAATTTTCTTGCTTCAGCCTCCCAAGTAGCTGGGACTACAGACACCCACCACAATGCCCAGCTATTTTTGTTGTTGTTGCAGTTGTCATTGTGTTTTAGCTGGCCTGGGCCAAGTTCAAACCCTCCAGCCTTGGTGTGTGTGGCTGGTGCCCTACCCACTAAGCTACGGGCGCCACCAGGTTTAACATCTCCATTTCTCTTGGAAGGCTTTGGCCAACATGCATAATCTACTCATAGATTAGGTTTTGGGTTTTTTTTTAAGTTTCAGCCAGGCCAGTAAGCAGAAATCAGCTATAACAATTGGACAAAGTTGTTATACAATTGGCTTGGCGTCTGTGGCTCAAGTGGCTAAGGCGCCAGCCATGTACACCTAGGGTGGCAGGTTCGAATCCAGCCCAGGCCCGCCAATCAGCAATGATGGCTGCAAGCAAAAAATAGCCGGGCGTTGTGGCGGGTGCCTGTGGTCCCAGCTACTTGGGAGGCTGAGGCAGGAGACTCACTTGAGCCCAGGAGTTGGAGGTTGCTATGAGCTATGATGCCATGGCACTCTACCCAGGAGGATAGCTTGAGGCTCTGTCTCAAAAAAAAAAAAAAATTTGGACAAAGAAAGGTACTAATACTGTAAATAATGGTACTGATTCCCATGAGTCCCTGGGTTGGGGTGCAAACCAGGAAATATCCGGTATACCCCCAGTTCATCAACTTTTTTTTTTTTTGAGACAGAGTCTCACTCAGTTGCCCTGGGTAGAGTGCCATGGTGTCATCACAGGCCACCACAACTTCAAACTCTTGGGCTCACAGGGTCCTCTTGCTTCAGCCTCCTGAGTAGGTGGAACTACAGGCATCAGCTACGATGCCCAGCTACTTTTTTCTATCTTTAGCAGAGATGGAGTCTCGCTCTCAACTCCTGAGCTCAAGTGATCTTCCCATCTCAGCTTCCCAGAGTGTCAGGATCATAGGCATGAGCCACGATGCCCGGCTCAAAGTCTAGTTGGGTTTTTTTTTTTTTTTTTTTTGAGACAGCATCTCACTCAGCTACCCCTGGTGTTGAGTGACATGGCATCATAGTTCACGGCAATCTCAAATTCTTGGCCTCAGCCTCTTAAGTAGATGGAACTACAGGTGACTGTCACAAAGCCTGGCCAGTTTTTCTACTTCTAGTACAGACAACATCTCGCTCTTGCTCAGACTGGTTTGCAACTCCTGAGTTCAACCAATCTATCTGCCTCGCCCTCCCAGTTTTAGGATTATACCTATGAGCCACTGCACCTGGCCGAAGTCTAGTTATTTTTAACTTAGGAATCCCCACAGGCCTTTCTGCACACTAATCATTGCTATAAATTATACTTCTTCAAAATTGGCCCAGGACTAAATTGGCTTTCTGTGATACATGGAATACAATTAATAAAAGACTAAAAAAGCCACACATTTTAAAAAGTGAATGAAAACCTGTAACACTTGCCTCATATCCAAATGTGAGGGCCATAACAGTGATGAGAAAGCCAAAAAATGCTTCTAGCTTCCGCAAGCCTGAAGAAAAAAATGTAGCAGTGAGCTCACAGAAGGCAGACTTCCCTATCAGCTGCAGGATGGAAAGCAGCTCCTTTAAATGACCCCTTCATTCCCACTCTCCTTACCATATTTGTCCAAAAAGAGAAATACAAAGGTATCTGCAATGGTGATGAGGACTCCACCCCACAGAGGAACCCTAGGTCAGAGGTAAGAAATAGAGATCAATGCAAAGGAAGGAAACATTGAGAAACACTTTCTTCCCAGCAACTGTCTAGATAGAGAATACATGATAAAGCTAGGACTTACGGGAAGAGGAATGGTGGCAGGAAGCCAGACTTTGGATAATTTAGGGTACAGCACCAACTTGATTACATTCATTACAATTTCTATGAGAGTCTACTATGTCAGATATTTAGGATACAAAGTATGAGGTCTTACTTTGTATGGACCTAAGTGGAAAAGTATGGGGTCTTACCCTCAAGGAGCTCACTAGCTGATAGGATACACCAACAAACAAATCATTATAATACAAAATGCCACACATTCTACAACACAATATGCACAATGTGCCATGTGAATGAAAGATGCAGAGCCTGCATCTTCTGAGGGAGAGGAAGGTAGCTCCAGGAAGGTTCCATAGAAGAAATAACTGAATTGAATCTTGAAAATTAGAAATGAATCACGTTGTTTTCACTTTTGCTTTGCACTCCACTGAACCATTGATTTCTTTCTAAAGGAAAATCCTCTTACCTTCCCATAGACAGAAGATTGATGGCAATGGCTGAGCCAATGACTTCTTGCATATCTGAGCCAATAATAGCCAACTCCACCATCAGCCATAGGATGATTCGTGGGACCTAAACATCAAACAGTAGAAAGATGTGGGTTTTTTTCCCCCCTTTAGAGACAGGTTCTCAGTCTGTTGCCCAGGCTGGAGTGCAATGGCATAATCACAACTCACTGCAGCCTCAAACTCCTGGGCTCAAGCCATCCTCCTACCTCAGCCTTCCAAATAGCTAGAACTACAGGCAAGTACCACCACACCTTGATAATTTTTTTACATTTTTTTGTAGTCACGGGGCCTTGCTATGTTGTCCAGGCTGGTCTCAAACTCCTGGCCTCAAGCAATCTTCCCCCTTGGCTTCCCAAAGCTCTGGGATTATAGGTGTGAGTCATTGCACCTAGCAAGATGTGGTTCTGAGTAATCATTTCAGGAACCTCTTTAGTATTTTGAAATTCATATTTTAGGATTGACCCCTAAACAGTTCTTTGTAAGTCTCAAGACAGAGATGAGGTACAAGAACTTGGGTTGACTCAGCCCACCACTGCACTGTGACTTCCAGCTGGAGAAGGAAAGTGGGCTTCCACATAATGGAGTCCATGGACCTAGGTCAGGGTGACAACTGATCTTACTTTTTTCTTTCCTTTCCACTCAAGAGAGGAACGCAACTTCCATTCATTAATTTCTACTTAGTTTCCTGCCTAAAAACAATCCTATAAGTTTTGAGGAGAATAAGGATTCTAAAATGGTCAAAATAGGGAAGAAGAGTGACTAGGAAATGACTGTAGAAGAAAACATCTCTCTTGACCATCACTGAGGAGACAAAACAACATGAAAATGTTGGGGTCACCTCTGATGTAATAATAATAATACACAAGTAAGTGAAAAAGAACAGACATGCAAAAGACTCAGGGTAAAATGGTTGGAAATGGGTGGCCTGAAGGTAGAAAACTAATCTGGACAAACATGTAGTTGCAACACAAATTTAGTTATGCTGGTCACTGAAGTCAGAAAAAACACCCCTGGGGCCGGGCGAGGTGATATAGGCCTGTAATCCTAGCCCTCTGGGAGGCTGAGGCAGGTGGATCACTTGAGCTCAGGAGGTTGAGACCAGTCTGAACAAGAGCAAGACCCTGTCTCTAAAAACAGCTGGGTGGCTCAGTGCCAGTAGCTACGGCTAGGGGGCCAGCCACATACACAAGAGCTGACAGGTTTGAACCCAGCCCAGGCCTGCCAAACAACAATGACAACTACAACCAAAAAATAGCTGGGCTTGGGTGGTGCCTGTGACTCAGTGAGTAGGGCACCAGCCCCATATATGGAGGGTGGTGGGTTCCAATCCAACCCCAGCCAAACTGCAACAAAAAAATCGTCTGGTGTTGTGGTGGGCACCTGTGGTCCCAGATACTCGGGAAGCTGAGGCAAGAGAATCACCTAAGCCCAAGAGCTAGAGGTTGTTGTGAGCTGTGATGCCATAGCACTCTACCAAGGGCGCAAAGTGAGACTGTCTCTAAAAAAAAAAAAAAAATAGCCAGGCGTTGTGGTGGGTGCCTGTACTCCTAGCTACTTGGGAGGGTGAGACAAGAGAATCGCTTGAGCCCCAGAGTTTGAGGTTGCTGTGAGCTGTGACACCATAGCACTCTATTGCAGGTGACATAGTGAGACTCTGTCTGAAAAAAATAAATACATAAACAAAATAAAATAAAATAATAAAAATAGCTGGGTGTTGTGGCAGGTGCCTGTAGTCCCAGCTACTCAGGCTAAGGCAAGAGAATTACTTAAGACCAAGAGTTTGAGGCTGCTATGAGCTGTGATGCCAGGGCACTCTACTGAGGGTGACAAAGGGAGACACTGTCTCAAAAAAAAAAAGAAAAAGGAAAAAAACACCTTTGGATAGTCACTATCCAAAAAATATCTTGTGGGGCCTGGGCGTGGTAGCTCACACCTGTAATCCCAATCCTCGAGGCAGGAGGATTGCCTGAGTTCACAGATTCAAGACCAGCCTGAGCCAGAGCAAGACCTCATCTCTAAAAATAGCTGGGTGTTGGGGTGGGCACCTGTAGTAACAGCTACTTGGGAGGCTGAGGCAAGAGAATCACTTGAGCCCAAGAGTTTGAGGTTGCTGTAAGCTATGATGCCACGGCACTCCACTGAGGGTGACAAAGTGAGAATCTATCTCAAAAAAAAAAAGAAAAGAAAAAAGTCTCATCACAAAAAAGTGACTATTAACATATATAAAGAAAGAGAAGCTAGAGGAAATTATAAATTGCCAAGGTTTTTTTGAAAAGTAGATAAAGATACTTTCTGCTCAAAGCCAGGAAAGAAGATTAAATATTGAGAACAAATCAGAGGTTGATCAGTATCTTATCTAAAGATGAAACTAGATTAAAAATGTCTTCCAGGCTTAGTGCCTGTGGCTCAAGTGGCTAAGGCGCCAGGCACATACTCCTGAGCTGGCGGCTTCGAATCCAGCGCAGGCCTGCCAAACAACAATGACAGCTATAACCAAAAAATAGCTGAGTGTTGTGGCAAGTGCCTACAGTCCCAGCTACTTGGGAGGTAGAGGCAGGAGAATCACTTGAGTTCAGGAGTTGGAGGTTGCTGTGAGCTGTGATGCTACGGCATTCAACACAGGGTGACAGCTTGAGATGCTGTCTCAAAATAAATAAATAAATAAAATAAAAATGTTTTCCAGGCTTGGCACCTGTAGCTCAGTGGTTAGGGCACTGGCCACATACACTGAGGCAGGTGGGCTGGAACCTGGCCTGGGCCTGCTAAACAACAATGACAACTGCAACAAAAAACAGCCGGGCGCTATGGCAGGTACCTGTAGTTCCAGCTACTTGGGAGGCAAAAGAATCGCTTAAGCCCAAGAGTTAGACGTTGATGTCAGCTGTGATGCCACAACACTCTACCAAGGGCTACAAAATAAGACTCTTGTCTCAAAAAAAAAAAACAAAAAAAGTCTTCCAGATGTAGGGTTTATTGCTACCTTAGGTAACATTAAGAAAGGCCCAAAATGGGCTCGGCGCCTATAGCTCAACCGGCTGAGGCGCCAGCCACGTACACCTAAGGTGGCGGGTTCAAATCCCCAGCCCGGACCCGCCAAATAACAATGACGGCTGCAACCAAAAAATAGCCGGGCGTTGTGGCAGGCACCTGTGGTCCCAGCTACTTGGGAGGTGGAGACAGGAGACTCGCTTG